GGTCTTTATATTTATCTTTACTGTAATAGACAGATTTTTGAACGGTTTCACATTAAACATAAATAAAAAGTTTGCTTACAATTTTTTACGATTGTCAGCGTAAGTTCTGATTTGTCTTTATACAAAAATCGATACTCTTCAGCAATTAAATCAGCTGCTCGACCAGTTCCCTAGAAAATCAGAATCATTCCATTGCTACTTTCAAATATCAAGCTGAATTATTCTCTTACTTCAATAACAATTAAATATGTTCCAGTTTTTAATGCTTCGCAGACGGTTTTCACGGATGATGCACCACCTTCAGCTAATATTTGAATCACAGGTACTTTGTGACCTATGGTTGGAAAAGCCGAAGAAGACTACAGTAGGCTTCAGTTATTTCCCACCAAGTATGTAAGCTTATTTATAAATATTGAACTGCAGATAGGTAGATGGCAGTTACTGGATGGTACTTAGATATGAGTGTGGTCCACAACAAAACACTGAAACTCGATTGAAAGACTCATAACGTACGTTGTCCTTGACTTATTGTTAAACTTGCTTCTCCTTCAATTTCAGCACGTAGTTTTAATATTAAATCAGCACGACAATTAGCCACATTTTTTGGAAACTTAGCGCGCCATTCTGAGCCTGATCCATTACCATCATCTAGCAATAAATAGTGTGTATGATTTAGATCAATTGAACAACTTTCTTCAATAATATTTTCTTGAATGTTTTTAGGAGACGGAGAACTGGGTGGGCTAGTGGGTCTCACGGTGGTGGCTTGCAGTGACGGTGGATGTTCAACGCATTCTGGTTCTAGCGGTCCTTTTCTTGAAACAGGTTGACTACTTCGGTATAATTTGATTCGTTGTTGGTTTTTGCTTTGCTTTGCTTTTTTCTCAGTTTTAATGATACGTGGTTGTTGTTCATCTGGCATCTAAAAAACAGAGAAGACCTTTTATAACTCACAGCCGAATCGCAATGAACGATCTATAGATGAATGTCTTGTAGGCATACATCAATATGATGCATATCAAAAGATGTCGATATCGGTTTGTATCGATGTCAAGTTGCCTCGATTCTCTAAGCACGGATTAATATATTTTTTCACGACTAAAATAAATTTTTTATACTAATTTAACCTAATTTCATGTTTTCACTTCTCTTTGCCAATTTGACAAAGTTGATGATGTCTCTAGTTTCTCAAAAATCTAATTAGTCTAATTAGTTTAATTATCCCTTTCCAATTTCATGCATTCATATGTCAATCGATAGAGTGTATAGAGGTAGTAAAAAGCCTAAAAGGATATCGACCGACAGCTCTGGAAGACCTGGTTTTTTGAAAAAACAGTTTTTTAGAAACTCTGAAAAATAACTAGAACGTTTCTTAGTGATGCATGGTTGTAGCCCGCAAATTTCTGATTAAAATCAGACATCTCCCATTTCTACACGATCTCTCTTGCAAAGTTATAGAATTTACAAGAAAAGCCCTAAATGTTCATTGTCAGCTCAAAGCTGCAAAAATAAGAAGAAATAAATTTAGGGCTTTTCTTGTAAATTCTATAACTTCGCAAAGAGAGGTCATGTAGAGATGGGAGATGTCTCATTTTAATCAGAAATTTGAGGGATACAATAATGCCTGGCTAAGAAACGTTCTGGTTATTTTTTAAATTTTCTGAAAAACTGCGTCTTCAAGAGCCGTCGGTCGATATCCTTTTGGATTTCTCACAAGCTCGATACACTCTGTCGATTGGCATATGAATGAATGAAATTGGAAGGGGACGCCAGAGAACATTCCCTCGTGAGCCAAAACGAAAGTGACTATAACTAGGATTCCTTATCATAGGTGGGTAAGGCATACTACATAGTCAATAAAAAAGTATGTTTACAAACTACAAAAGCGTTGTTTTCCAAAATCAAGAAAAAAAGCGAGCTTTGCCTGTATGCTACAAACGAATTTTTCATCTCACGGCCGAAAATAATGAAACTAAGATGAGAAAAATAATGAACAAGAGATTTTAAGTGACACTTTTTCGACTACCGTACTCAGAAAACCAGTTTGAATTAATTTTGGATTAAATGCTCCAGAAACCTATATCTGTCTATCAGAGCGGTGTATTTCATTTCACTGTGCTTCTCAATTTTCTCGTTACCTTTTTTTATAGCAGTGGATCGAACTGAGGCAAAAGTGAGATCACAGGTCGAAACAGAAGACAAATAAATGATACTCGAAGGTTGATCTTTCTCCGGTTCTTCGGCGAAGAAAAACTTAACTCAAGGTACTGAGGTCGCATGAGAACCAGAGCAAAGGAAGAGAAAATTGTCGATAAAACGTAAACGTTTTGCTTACTAATGAAAAACATTTCCACATGGAAATGTGGATTTTAGGATTATAGTAGAGTGAACTGTTCTGAGCTACTGGTGAAAGGTTCGGAGAGTTTTGTTAGCTAACCCTGAGCATGACGGAATGCAGTAAGTTCGGCAGAAACGGTACCAAAAACTCCAAAACCATTTATTGATACTTTTCGTTAGCGACACCGATAGATACCACTACTAACCAGAGCCCGAACCGCATCAGGAAAACCTGATTCGATTTGGGATTACATTTTTGAATCCTAAATTGGTTCAATTCGATTCTACGGAACATTTCTGAAATCAAATTCGGTTCGATTTGATTCGATTCAGCTTTTTGCCCAATCGAATGCCGAATTATTCGCGTCGTTTAGGAGTCACACTGATTGTAAAAGGAAAAAAGACCAAAAGGTTTTTTTGTACTATTCGACTCGACGGAATATATATGATATCAAAGTCGGTTCGATTGAGTTTGGTATCTTCCGAATCGAATGCCGACTCATTCGATTCGTTTCGGGCTCTAATACTGACCGATAGCGACAAAAAACGACACGGATAGTATGATATCGATACATGCCTAATGACATCTAGAATAGCTAAAACTGCCTCTGCGGAAATAGACGTAACACTTACGGAGATGGCAACATCTATCTGTTGTCCATCTTGCTCTAAATCGTGCATCAAATGTTCATAATCTAAAAACATAAAACAATGATTTTTGGTGTGATGTTCAAGTTAGACTATTTTAATCTCACCAGTTGTATAATACCAACTAGCAATTCCAATACAAGGTATTTTTGATGGTCTTTTTGTGTTGTAACGTGATTTATCAATGGCATCACCAACAGCTTTCATAACACCGGAATTTGTACCATCAGTGAATATCCATGCACCTAAGCGCAAACCTCAGTTAGGAGATCTCTAGAAACTGGAAAAGAAAACAATACCTGTAGTCAATGCAGCGGATATCAATCCATTTTGAAATGCATTTCTTATCTCGAATGTTGTTATTTTAAAAAATCTAGCTCCACCTGTTACCGAAATTACCAGTTGTGGTATTGGTAATTTCCATGCTTCTCTCATAAAATTAACTATTTGCTTTGCAGTTTCTTGGGTTGGTGCTTTAACCTCTATAAGACTGCTTTGTATCACTGATTGCTTAATTGTTGTTGTTCTTGGATTCGAACTAGAAATTGTGGCTGATGGACTTCTTTCTGGTGCAGTTGTTGAATTTTGATCATTAGGAGTAAATGGAAATCGAACATACTAAGTTAGAAAAAGACTTAACCTGAAACATACTTCTGGCAGCTCTTCTACGCTCTAAAAAAGAGGACTTCGTCAGAAAACTGAAAGCGTGTTTTTCATTTGTCCCAAATAGGGGTCTGATATGAGTTTTCTGAAAATTTGCAAAACTGATTGTTTCATTTTCCGGAAGAACAGAGATTGAGTTTTTCTTCTTTTTAGATCCCTATTTGGGATATTTGTTTTCCAGAAAACATCAGGTCGAAAAACACATTTCTGTTCTTCGACTTTTTCAAAAATCTGGATCGTAATTCCTCTTTTCACCAGCCAACTTTTTATTTTTTTTCAATACGATATCTATGATCATGTGTAAAATTATTCTTTTATTCAATATTAATATTGCCAACTGAAAACCTGCACAAGTAAAGAAAACTATGTAACCCACATCCTAACTCGATCGTCATTTGGAACCTCATTCGACTCGGGTCGAATCAGGTTCCAAACATCGTTGGGTTTGAGTCGAATTTTAGAACTCTGTTGTCAAGAACAAACATGTTCTCGACGTGCGCACATTATTGTACATAAACAGAACTTTTTGAGAATAAGTTTAAGCTTCTGTAAGAAAAGATCATGTCCTTTATATATATTAGGAATCGCAAAACAAAAGCGGTGATTAAAATGTGTGATTTTCTTTTTCTTTGTCAACTTCGACACCTTCAAAAAACTCAAAAGAAATATTGTGTTTTCCAAATCTTGAAAAACAAAATTTCTGCAAAGCTAAAATGAGCCGGAAAACTGAAATGCGTGAAAAACTCATTTTTTATTGAAAAATAGAAGTTAAGTTCTTCATAGTTCAAAGATATTAAATGCAACACGAAGAACACGTCTTTTTAGAGTGTAGGGACTGATCTATTAGAAAGACTAACGCATCTATTATTGCATTAATAAATTTCACTGCAGAATCAAAAGAGTTCAAAAAGTCCTTAATCCTTCGCATTACCTTGAGCTAACCAACAACAGTGCTATGATACACAGTTTTCTGTTCATCAAGAGAATGTATTACGACAAACCTGTAGTTTGTCCAAGATCCACGGTCAAATATCAGAATGTGAAGTTTTTTTGAACATAAGAAATCCACATTCTTACCCACGATAAGCGGTCATTTTCGGCAAAAAGAATCTGTCCGTAATCGTTGATTCTAAATCATAAAAAATACTCGTGTAATTACCATATAAAGGCTGTGCACTGTTTAATTACTGTTCCTTCGGATTTTCATTATTAAAAGAAACAACCCACTAAAATAAAAAGAACAAAATATTTTTGTTAGAAAACATCTACTGTTTTTAGTACATAATGGAAAAGCTCACGTATCGGGAGACTTTTTGTATCTGTGACAATTTTCAGTCGCCTGAGAGTTTTCTGAACTTTCAGCGCTTTACTAGAACTTCTACACACTAAAGTATACGACTTCCAGGCGTCGGATGACGGAAGAATCTAGGAAAATGTAAGATTTCGCAAGCTCAGGAATGTAGGAATTCAGAAGTTATCACTTTTTAAAATTATAATAATAAGCTAATTAAGATTTCAAAAAATTTAACAGCATCTCGTTTGTATATGTGTTTTGTCTATTCTCGGCGCCAAAATAAAAGATGTGTGCTCGCTTCTTGAATAACTTCGTCACCTTGATAGACAGCGATCTGCGGCTTTCAGTTTTGAAAACTAGACACCTGATCACATATTTCTGTGGTCAGCAGTATCGACCGAGAAATAGTTTTCTTTTCTATTGAAACCTCTCTTAGATTCTCGAAATCTAATACAACGTAAGCAACGTTGCATTTTCGAGAAATACTAACACTAATCTCCAAATTGCTGTACCGTTGATTACTGTACGATGCTCATTAGTAAACAGGAATTCCATCTTTCAATCTCGTACATATGTCCATTTCGTTCGTCACTTAAACTTAAAAAGCGCATCAATTTGCAGTGGTAAATACGTATTTTAAGGATTATCAAAAGCAAAATTACTTTCCACTCATCCTCAAAATGTGCATGTATGCATGAATATCTTCTGAATTCCGAACTCTTCAACATTGAACCCTGTTTAGTAACTCACTCTCACGCTCCTGTCCCTCCCACTCTGCCAGCACAAACTACAAAATAATGTAGGTGGCTCAAAATACAGAATACTATTTTCGGCGCCAAAATAAAAGACGTGTGTTCGCTTCTTGAATAACTTCGTCACCTTGGTAGACAGCGATCTGCGGCTTTCAGTTTTGAAAACTACTATCCATACCAAAATACAGTGCCGGGTGCCACTTTTTGAAAAACTTTTAATAGGAATGACATAGAGACCTGCGATTTTCGCTGTTCAATAGCCAAGACTTGAGCAGAACTTTTCACAAGCGGAAGCAACTTTTGAAAAAGTTCCAGAGACCGGGTTTCCAGAGGATCTTTGGAAAATCAGCTTCGTTCTCAGAAAACTAACATACAATGTTAGTAACTTTTTTGCATGCGTAGATAGTCCGGACGTTACTCTACAAAATTATGCAAGTCCCGGCTCTCTAGCTATCGTCGTTCGGGCAGGGCTCGCTTTCCCCGACCACGTGTCTATCTCCGAGCAGACATCTCTGGGAATCTCATCAACAACATACGACACCTTTTAAGCCTTTCCTGAAAATTTTCTTCAGTCAGCATGAGATTTGATCGAGATATAAGGATTTTAATTTTTGCTAGTAACAGGCGAAAAACCGGTTTTTCACAATAATGCCTCTGGCGAAGTTATATTCATTTCTACACAAAAACAAATATTGCCACCATGCTCAGCGTAGTCGATTACCTATAGTCCATGGCATTTTGAGATTCCCAGAGAAAAACTAAAGTACTCGAATAGGATAGGGATACACATCAATCGATTCATTTTTTCATGCTGATTCCGAATATGATATTTTTATTGCATAAAGGTGGAGAAAATTGAGAATTACGAATTACATTCAAACCAGCAAAAAAAATTTGGGACTCAAAGGGTTAAACTAAGTAATGATAAAAAGAACTTTCTTTGCTTACTTACTTTATTTACTGCATCTTTAATTTCACCTTCTTTTTCAACACTTTTTGTTACAACAACCATTTTTGGCTTATTAACTGCATATTTTTTTTATTAAATTTCGATTTATCACAGTAATATGTTATTATTAAAACAATATTTCTTTCTCTTTTTCTTCAAGTCAAATTGGCCTTTCCTTGAAAAAGTAAGAAGGAGAACTCTCAGAAGAAAAATAATTCGTTTTCTTTTTGTTTCAATGTTTAGACTACGCGAATAAAAAGAAAAAGTGAATTATTGCTGTGATAATAATAGTTTTTGTTCTTCTTATTTCTATTTATTATAAGCAGTCCTTTTTTGTTGTCCTTTCTGTGACACGAAAATTTTCCTGTCTTTTCGGCTTTATTTTGGGTAAATGTCCTCTATTTTTCTTTAAAGACGTAATAGTGGTACACTAGATGCCCTAATGTCGAATATCTATTCTGCAAGTGTATACAGCTGTACCGAGAGCGTATACATTACTAGTTGTCTGTGTGCTAGTTTACTTACGAGGGAACCGCCCCAGGTGCCCAACTCCGATTTCCTTTATTCATACCTCGTTTTATAGAGCACATCGAGCTGGTAAAAAGCCTAAAAGGATTTTTGCCCATGGCTCTCGAAGTCTCGGTTTTCTACAAAACTAGTTTTTGAGAAATTCTAAAAAATAATCAAAAATAATCTTATTTCTACAGCTTTGAACTGACAATGAACATTTAGGGCTTTTCTTGTAAATTCTGTAACTTTGTAAAGAAAGGTCGCGTAGAGCTGGGAGACGTCTCATTTTAATCAGAAATGTGCGGGCTATAATTATGCCTCATTATAAAAGGTTTTGATTATTTTTTAGAATTTCTCAAAAACTGGTTTTGCAGAAAACCGAGACTTCGAGAGCCATGGGCAAAAATCCTTTTAGGCTTTTTACCAGCTCGATGCGCTCTATAAACAGAGACCTGAATTTTGGGAGGGGGGTGCGTACCCCCCCAAAAATTTAAAAGAACAGTAACAAGGTAATTACTGAGTAACTATGCAAAAAACACGTTCGAGTTTACACCACCTCGAACGTGAAATTTAAAATAAAGTTTACACTATCTCGGACAAAAAACTTTCGTTACACACACACACACCCCAATGTCCGGCACCTACTCAGGTCCCTGTCTATAAAACGAGGTATGAATGAAGGAAATCGGAGTTGGCACCTGGGGCGGTTCCCTCGTTAGATATGCTGATGATAAGTGCTGATCTAAGTCAGTCGATGTCTTGTGAACACTAAAAACGAATTTACTGAGTTTCGTGGATCAGTTCTGGCTCAAGGTAATTACACTGATGCCAATTGAATATGCAAATTTTTATCGACACTGATCTAGGAGAAGCCGACCTTACTTGATTGATGCTAATACGAGCTACTTAGGGCTAACCAAAAGTTCTGGCAACATTAAATAAAAATATAAAGATAAAGAGATATTTTTAATTTAATTTTATCAAATGTTCAAGATAGTTCAAAGTCTAACAATTTATTAAAAGTTTTTTTTGAACTCTTTTTCTAAAAAATGTTTAGCTACCTTGCAAACCACATGAGCACATCACATTTCATTTGTTTTAAAATTTAGTGAAATTTTGTTCGATCATGTCAGTTGCGTTCTAGCACTACTAGTAATAAGATACGGATTCATTTTAGATAGATTAGTCATAAGTCATCTGATGCTAGCTGGCATATTGAAGATGAATCGTTAAAGACTATTGTTCATGGAGATAGATTTGAAGCAAACCTTTGTTTCGTATATTCATTAAATCAAATAGTCCTGAGTGTAGATAAAGGCAGGACCGTAGGTCACAAGTATTATATTGAAAATTGTCTGAAGCCTTTTGTGAATGTAATACGAAAACAAACAGAGACGTCAGGTTCAAAATGCACAAAATTGCTTGACGGTCACCGCTGACTTCATCTCATCCGATGTTATTGATTATTTGACAGAAGAAAGCATCAATATAATGCCGAAGCCGCCATATTCGTCATACTTAATACTACATAATATTTGATTAAATAATTCTATCAAACGAAGTTTAACTAATTAAATAAATGAAATGTGATGTGCTCATGTGGTTTCCAAGGTAGCTAAACATTTTTTAGAAAAAGAGTTCAAAAAAACTTTTAATAAATTGTTAGAAAGGATTGAACTTGATATAAATATTCATGGCAACTATCCTGAACATTTGGTAAAATTAAAAATATTAAAAATATCTCCTTATCTTTATATTTTTATATAATGTTGCCAGAACTTTTGATCAACCCTAAGTATATGACTAGTGCACTAAAAACACAAAAATCTGTTAAAAGATAGTTTCAACTTAATATTAATAATGCACAACGTTTTCTCCAAATCGTTTTTTTCATTCAAGGCTGTTCCTATGTCCCAAAATCTGGCGTATCGGCAGGTGTTACAGACCTAGAGTTGGTTTCAAAATTTAGGTAACATATGTGCGAGTAGAAGTTAAAAAAAGTCCACAATTTTGCACGAGAATCACTCAAAAATTCAGAAAACGAGAAATTCAGGAATGACCATTTTTAGCAATTGTAAGTTAATCGATTGTGTTTCTTCAGCAGAGAATATTACCAACCGTCTGGAAATATTTACGGTACGACCAGATAACTCTGCTACCGGAGTGAAATTCTGTGACGATATTTTGACATTTTTCTGTGTTTATATTTTTTCAACGAAAGCATGTGCAGCGCTGTGGAACATCTAGAACTGTAAAGAAAACCTTTCTCTACAAAATGAGGTGTATACAGGCTCTGTAGGTTCGTTTGTTTAAGAACTAAAAGGACAATACGAAACGTCCTTCTCAGTTTTGGGAAAGTTACATTTAGTATTTACGTTTATTGTTTAAACAAAGAAATGTGCCGTTCAGCAATGCTCGTTCTA